CCCGCCCCTGCCTATCCCCGGCCACGCCCCACGGATCCCCCGGCGAGGGCAGCTGCGCTCCAATCGGCGTGGTACCCACGCGGTGACACCCTTAAGAAGCCACGTCCGTGCGTGCACGTGCACCCCACTGCAGCCACGGGAATGGAGACGTTGCCAAAACAGCTCCATGGAGCCACAGTGCCCAGGCCATCCTCTTCATCCGCGTAACATGCGCAGCGCATGGCCGGGTGCGGTGGCTCTCGCCTTTGTAATCCCAGCACTTTGGGAGGCCAAAGCGGGTACATCCTTTGCAAAGTCAGGAGTTTGAGACCAGCCTGGCCAACATGGTGAAACCCTGTCTCTACTAAAAACACAAAAATTAGCTGGGCATGGTGGCGGGTGCCTGTAATCCCAGTTACTCGGGAGGCTGAGGCACGGAATCGCTTGAACCCAGGAGGTGGAGATTGCAACGAGCCAAGATTGCACCACTGAACTCCAGCCTGGGCGACAGAGTGAGACTCCGTCTCAAAAGAGAGAGAGAGAAAGAGAATTAGGATGTAGACGACCTGAACAATGCTATCGACTGACTTGCTCCCGTTGACATCGCTAGAACACCCCAACCAGCAAGGTCAGAATAGTCTTTTCAACTCGGCAGGTAACATCTACAAAGATAAATAAACCATAAAATATGTACCATAAAATATGTCGCAATAAATTTACCTAAACTTTACAAAAATATGCCCTCAACCACAACTGAGTTTAATTTCAAATCTAATATAAAGATATTTGAGAAATATCCAAACATTTGTCAGCTAAATAATTCATTTCTAAATGTCTCATGGTTCGAAGAAGTTAAAAGGGAAGTTATAAAGTATTTTGAAATGAACAAAAATTTAAAAATCAAAATTCATGGAATATAGCTAAAGAAGTACTTAGAAATGTGTAGCAATCACAAAAGAAGAAAAGTTTCAAATTATTAATCTTGACTTCTGCATTGAGGAGCCAGAACAAAAAGCAAAGTAAGCCGAAGACAGGCAATAACTGCCTGTCAGTTTCCATTGTATTTCTAAATACAATAAAAACAGAAAAACCGTAGCGAGAAACTCAAATGAAGCCAAAGGCTGGCTGGTCCTGGTGGCTCATGCCTGTAATCCCAGCACTTTGGGAGGCCGAGGCAAGTGGATCACCTGATATCAGGAGTTCGAGACCAGTCTGGCCAACATAGTGAAAGCCCATCTCTACTAAAAATACAACATTTGGCACAGTATGGTGGCGGGTGCCTGTAATCCCAGCTACTCCAGAGGCTGAGGTAGGAGAATAGCTTGAACCTGGGAGACGGAGGTTGTGGTGAGCCAAGATTGTGTCATTGCACTTCAGCCTGGGCAACAAGAGCGAAACTCCGTCTCCAAAAAAATAAAAATAAAATAAAATAAAACAAGAAACCAAAGGCTGTTTCTTTGAGAGAATCAATAAGCTCTATCAACCTCTGGCCAGACTGAGCAGGAAAAAAAGAGAAAAACAAATGACCAGAACCAGGAATAGGAGGTGACAGCACTGCAGATTCTATAGATATTGATGGGCACGGTGGCTCACGCCTGTAGTCCCAACACTTTGGGAGGCCAGGGTGCACAGGTCGCTGAAGCTCAGAAGTTTAAACCCAGCCTGGGTACCATGGTGAAACCCTGTCTTAGCAAGGTGTGCTGGCGCACCCGGCAGATCTTACCGATTCTCTCAGAGAACCAGCCTTTGGTTTCTTTTTCTTTTCTTTTCTTTGTTTTTTGAGATGGAGTTTCACTATCGTTGCCTAGGCTGGGGTGCAATGGCACCATCTCAGCTCACCACAACCTCTGTCTCCCAGGTTCAAGCGATCTTCCCGCCTTAGCCTCCTGAGTAGCTGGGATTACAGGCACATGCCACCACGCCCGGCTAATTTTTTGTATTTTTAGTAGAGACGGGGTTTCGCCATGTTGGTCTGTGGTCCCCACTACTCGGGAGGCTGAGGTGGGAGGATCACTTGAGCCCAGGAGGCGGAGGCTGCAGTGAGCTGTGATCATGCCAGTGCGCTCCAGCTTGGGCAACGGAGAGACCCTGTCTCAAAAAATAAATAAATATGGCGGGAGCGGTGGCTCACCCCTGTAATACAAGCACTTTGGAGGCCAAGGCAGGCGGATCACCTGAGATCAGGAGTTCAAGACCAGCCTGACCAACATGGTAAAACCCCATCTTAAAAAAATTAAAATTAAAATTAAAATTAAAATAAATAAATAAAGCTTCTGTAGATACTGAAAGTATATTTGCCTTTTTTTTTTTTTTTTAGATGGAGTTTCACTCTTGTTGCCCAGGCTGGAGTGCAATGGCACAATCTCGGCTCACAGCAACTTCCACCACCCAGGTTCAAGCAATTCTCCTGTGTCAGCCTCCCAAATAGCTGGGATTACAGGCATGTGCCAACATGCCCGGCTAATTTTTTTTATTTTTAGTAGAGACGGGGTTTCTCCATGTTGGTCTCGAACTCCTGACCTCAGGCGGTCTGCCTGCCTCTGCGTCCCAAAGTGTTGGGATTAAAGGCGTGAGCCACCATGCCTGGCCAACACTGAAAGTGTATTAAGGGGCTATTATGAACAACTTTATGGCAAAAAAATCAACAACTTAGACAAAATGGGCAAATTCCTTAAAACATAAATTACAAAAGCTCACTTAAGAAGACATAGATAACTTTAATTTCTCTATTATCTGTTGATAAAATTGAATTGGTAATTAAGGACCTTCTCACAGAGAAAATTCCTCTAATCGATGTCTTCATGAGTGAATCCTACTAAACATTTAAAGAAGAAAGAATACCAGTTCTACACAAACTCTTGCAAGAAACTGAGCAGGAGGGACTACTTTCCAGTGCATTCTACAAAGCAAACGTTACTCTGATATCAAAACCAGACAAATAAGACTGCATAGCAATGTCTGACAGGAACAAAGATGCAAAAGTGATTTTTATTTATTACTTTTTTAAAGAATGTTTCAAAAGACAGGGTGTTGCTCTGTCATCCAGGCTAGAGAGCAATGGTGTGATCATGGCTCACTGCAGCCTCAACCTCATGGGCTGAAGCGATCCTCCCACCTCAGCCTCCTGAGTAGCTGGCACCACAGGCATGCCAGAATGCCTGGCAATTTTAAAAAGTTTCTTTGTAGAGACAAGAGTCTCGATATGTTGCCCAGGCTGGTCTCAAATTCCTGGGCTCAAGCAATCCTTCCACCTCAGCCTCCCAAAGTGCTGGGATTACGGTTGTGAGCCACCATGCCCAGCCAAAAATCCTTTTTTTTTTTTTTTTTTTTTTTTTGGAGACGGAGTTTCGCTCATGTTACCCAGGCTGGAGTGCAATGGTGCGATCTCGGCTCACCGCAACCCCCGCCTCCTGGGTTCAGGCAATTCTCCTGCCTCAGCCTCCTGAGTCGCTGGGATTACAGGCACGTGCCACCATGCCCAGCTAATTTTTTGTAGTTTTAGTAGAGACGGGGTTTCACCATGTTGACCAGGATGGTCTCGATCTCTTGACCTCGTGATCCACCCGCCTCGGACTCCCAAAGTGCTGGGATTACAGGCTTGAGCCACCGCGCCCGGCCCAAAAATTCTTTTAAAATAAGGTTAGCCCCGTCATCCCAGCACTTGGAGAGGCCGAGATGGATGGATCACTGGAGGCCAGGTGTTTGAGGCCAGCCTGGCCAATGTGGTGAAACCCCGTCTCTACAAAAAGTACAAAAATTAGCCAGGCGAGGTGGCGGGCGCCTGTAATCCCAGCCACTTGGGAGGCTGAGGCAGAGAATTGCTTGAACCCAGGAGGCAGAGGTTGCAATGAGCCGAGATCACACCACTGCTCTCCAGCCTGAGCAGCAGAGCGAGAATCTGTCTCAAATAAATAAATAAATAAATAAAGTGTTCGCCAAGTGTGACCGCAGGTGCCTGCAGTGCCAGTTACTTGGGAAACCGAGATGGAAGGACCTCCTGAGCTGAGGAGCTGAAGGCTACACCATGCTATCATAACACCTGTGAGTAGACACTGTGCTTTAGCTTGGACAACACAGTGAGACCCCACCTCTAAAAACTCTTTAAATTTCAAAGATCTTAGCATTAGAATATTTTATGTTACGACTGTCATTGTCTATTTTCTGTAGCTCTAACTGAACGCCTGAGCCTGGGTAACTTGTAAAGAAAAATAATGTATTTCTTTCCAGTTTTGGAGGCGGGGAAGCCCAGGGTTGAGGGGGTACACCCGGTTAGGCCTTGCTGCTGGTGGGACTCTGCTGAGTCGCGAGATGGCGCAGGTATCTCACGCCGCGTGCCCACAAATCATCTCTAAGCCCACACTTGGCACGTGGCCCAGCAATCACAGGCATTCATCCCAGAGAAAGAAAATTTGCATCTACTCACACATCTACCCACGAATGTTCATAGCAGCTTTATTTGTAATAGCCAAGAACTTGAAACAACCACTAGGCAAACAGTCAAACAGCTAGCTCCTCCTCACCGTGGAAGTGCACTTGGCAAGGCCTGAACCTAGAGACGCACCACTTGGAT